TGGACAATAATTCTCTCTCAGATGAATCACTGGCAAAGATTTTCTTTCATTCTCTAGGTTGTCTTTTCACTTTGTTCGTTGTTTCCTTTGCTGAGTTGAAATTTTGAAATTTGAGACAGTCCTGTTTGTCAAGTCTTGCTTTCAGGAACCCGGTGCAAGAAATCATTGCCTGTGCCAATATTTTGAAGTGTTCCCCCTAAGTTTTGTTTTGTTTTCTTTCTGAAAGTGGTTTCAAAGTTTCAGGTCTTACATTAAGGTCTTTGATCCCTTTTAAGTTGATTTTTGCAGAGGATGAGACACAGGATCTAGTCTTATCTTCTGCACAAGGGTATCCAGTTTTCCCAGCACCGTTTGTTGGAGATGCTGTCTTCTCTCCAGGTATGTTTTTGGCTTCTTTGTGGAGACTCAGATGGTGAGAGCTGCATGGGTTTATTTCTGGTTCCTCGAGTCTATTCTATTAATCTATGTGCCCGTTTCTACAGCAGTACCAGGCTTTTCATGTCCTTGAATCTGTAGTGTAATTTGAATTAAGACATAATGATGACTCAGAGTTGCTCTTTTTACTCAGGACTGCTTTGACTACTGGTGGACTTTTGTACTCTCATATGAATTTTAGGATTTTTTTTTCTAGTTCTATGAAGAATAGCACCCGTATTTTGGTAGTGATTGTATTGAACTTGTAGATCACTGTTAGTAGTATGGCTGTTTTAACAGTATTAACTCTACCAATCTGTAAACATACGAGGTCTTTCCACTCTCTATCTTTTGCAATTTCTTTCTTCGGTGTTTTGCAATTTTCACTATGGTAGGATGCCTCTCTGGCTAGATTTCTTCCTAAATATTTTGTTTTTTAGGGTATTGTGAATGGGATTGTCTTCCTGATTTCCTTCTCGGTAAGTTCATTTTTGGTGTACAGAAAAGCAATTGCTGCTGAGGATATAACTCAGTGGTGCAGCACCTGCCTGATAAGCATGGGATCCTGAGTTCAATTCCCAGTACCCAAAAAGAGAAAGTGTTTAGAAAAACAACTACTTTTTGTATGTTTATTTTGTATCGTGCTACTTTGCAGAATTTTTTAAATCCAGTCTTAAAGTCTTCTGGTGGAATCTTTACAGTTTTGACTTCCTGCTTTCCTATCTGTAACCCTTTTATTTCTTTGTCTTGCCTGATTGCTTTGGGTAAAATTTCAAATTCTGTTCTGTTAAAATTTCTGTTCTGTACTGAACAGAAGCAATGAGAATAGACTCCTGGTTTTGTCATTGACTTCAGAGAAGATACTTTCAGTTTTTCCCCACTCAGTACAGTGAGTGGCTATTGGTTTGTCATATGTAGTGGCTATTGGTTTGTCATACGTAGCCTTTGGTATGTTGAGATAAGATTCTGTATATGGCGCACGCCTGTAATCCCAGCACTCAGGAGGCTGAGGCAGGAAGATCGTTGCAAGTTTGAGACCAGCCTGAGCTACAAAGTGAGCTCAAGGCCAGCCTCAACTGCATAGGAGACCCTCCTCCCATTTCTAGTTTATGAAAAGTTCTTCTTTGAAAGTTTAACTATAAGCTGAGCATGGTGGTGCACATTTATAATCCCAGCAGTCAGGAGGCTGAGGCAAAAGGATTGCTGCAATTTTGAGGCCAGCCTGGGCTACATGGTGAGTTCAAGGCTAGCCTAAGCTACATAGTGAAAATAAAAATAAAAATAATGAATTTAAGACCAGACTGAACTACATAGAGAAAACTTGTCTCAAAACACATAATAATAACAATAATAATAATTTTTAAATTAAATAATAATGTTGGATAAAATTCAACAGTGAATCTGTCTGGTCCTTCACTTCTCTTTGTTGGGAGACTTTTATTACTTCTTCAATTTCATTATTATTTATCTATTTAGGAATTTTATATCTTCTTATACAAAAGATAAGGTTATCAATTTTGGTAGGTTATATGTGCCCAGAAATTTGTCTATTTATTCTACATTTTCAAATTGATTAGCATACAGCTTTTCAGAATATTCCCTAGTGATCCTATAGATTTCAGTAGTATGTTATAATAGTCCCTTTTTTAAAATCTGTAATTTCAGCCAGGCGTGGTGGCATATGCCTGTAATCCCAGCACTCGGGAGGCTGAGGCAGGAGGATCGTTGCAAGTTTGACACCAACCTGGGCTACAAAGTGAGCTCAAGGCCACCCTGAACTACATAGCTAGACCCTGTTTCAAAAAAAAGACAAAAAATAAAAAATAAAATAAAATAAAATCTCTAATTTTATTTATTTGGATTATCTCTTTCTTTTGGTCAGTATGGTTAAGAGCGTATCGGTTTTATCTTTGCAGAAAACCAATTCTTGCTTCATTGGTCCTCTGTATGGTTCTTTTACCTTCTTTCCATTTGTTTCTGCTCTGATCATTTTATTTCTTTCCTTGTACTGCTTTTGGGTTTAGTCTTTCTTGTTTTCCTAAGGCCTTGAGATGCACCACTAGGTAGTTTATCTGAGGTCTCTCTTTCTCCATGCAGGGACTCACAGCTATAAACTTCCTGCACACCCCTGCTTTCCCTTACCTTTAATCTACACATGTTTGTATAGTTCAGTACTTTCCCTCACTGTTGCTTTCTAGTGGTATTCTGTTATAGCCAATAAGTTGCAAGAAAATGTTTTAATTGGTCTATATTTGTTAAGACTTGCTTTATGGCCTAATATGTCATCTGTTTGGAGAAAAGATCTACACACTGATGAAAAGAATGTTCATTTTGCAGTCGCATGGGATATTCCATAGATGCCTGTTAAATCCATTTGATCTATTGTCTAATTTAAGTCTGATATGTCTTTGTTGATTTTTTGTGTGGATGATCTATTGGTGAGAGTCGGGCTTTGAAATCACTCACTATTATTATATTGGGACCTATATCTCCCTTTATGTCCTGTAGAGTTCATTTTATAAAATTGGGTGCTCCAAAAATCAGTGCATATATATTTACAATTCTTATATTTTTTTGATGGATTGTTTCCTTTATCAATATGTAATGACTCTGTCTCTTTTGGACAATTTTGGTTCAGTGTCTGAAAAAAAGTTAATCTTTGTTGGTAGCTAAATAATAATTTATTATCAAAATACTAAGTTTACTATACAGAAGCTCTTAATAAACAATTGCCTTGACTCAGTGGTATGGTTTGTACCTAGATGTCCCCCCAAAGCCTTAAGCAATCATGGGGTGCACTTCTAGAGTTTTTGATTCATCCGTGGTCCAATGCTGGGATTATGGGTGTGAGTGCTACACCTGCCCTGGGGCGGGCAGCCTGCATACAACATAAGGGAAAGAAAGAGACTTGCTCTCTGCTGCTCCTCCTTTTTGCTCTTGCTGCTTTTTCTGTTTTCCACTGCCATGAACTGTTGCCCTCTGCCATGTGTCACTCTGCCTTGGAGCAAGCTGAGTGTGGACTGAAACCTCCACAAACTGTAAGTTAAATAAACCTTTCCTTCCTTAATTTTGGGCATCACGTATTTTGTCTCAACAATGAGAGAAAAGTAACCAAGACATCTAGAAAGTCCTACTGTGAAAATTTAACTGTTGGTATTCTTTCATGCCAGGTGTGGTAGTGCACAGCTGTAATCACAGTATTTGGGAGGCTGAGGCAGGAGGATTGCTGTGAGTTCAAGGCCAACCTGGCCTACATACTGAGTTTAAGCCCAGCCTGAACTACACAGCAAGACCCTGTCTGGGAAAAAAAACAACAACAACAACAAAAAAAAACTGAGATATTCTTTCAAATGTACAAAGATATATTTATAAATCTATACTGCAGTAGTGTATGTAACATAGTAGACTAAAGGTATAGTTGTTCATCATCCAGAGATCTTTAGTGGGCAATTGTGTAGCTATTTTTAAAAATGATCCACTAATCTAGAAAGATATCCTAGAAATGTTTTTGGGTAAAAGCAAAAGAAGTTCATATTAAGCCATCATTATTTAAAATTTATATATATGGGTGTGCATATAAATTCTGAAAAGAATGTTTCAGACCCTTTTTTGTGTCTGGAAGTCTGGAGTACTACTTGATGGGTTTTTGTTTGCTTTTGCTTTGTTTTCTGTCTGTTTGTACTCTTTTTGTTTTATTTGAAGCACTGTAAATTATACCCAGGACCTTTACACTGAGCTATGTCCCTAGGCCTTTTTTATTTTTTATTTGGTGACAGGATCTCTCTGTTACCCCAGCAAGACTTCAACTTGCCATCCTTTTGCCTCAGCCTACCAGAGTGCTCGGATTACAGGCATGCACCACCGTACCTGGCTCTATTTGGTGTTTTTAAATGGGGATGTAATATATGTGTGCAATTCTTTTTTAGAAAAAAATTATGGGGCCAGGGGCATAGCTCAGCGGCACAGTGACCTGGAAAGTTCAAGGTCCTGAATTCAATTCCTGGTACAAAAAAAAAAACTTATGTAAACCATAAATGAGTACTATCAAATTCATAAAGGGGAAAGTGTCTGAGAGTAAAGGGAAAAAAAAATCAGGAAGGAAAATATCGATCAGTTCAACAACATAATTTTTTTTTTCCAGTACCGGGAATCAAACTCATGACCTCGCGCTTGCCTGGCAGGCGCTGTGACACTGAGCTAAATCCCCAGCCCCAACAACCTAATACTGAAACAACTATAGGGCCAGCAGTGGTGGCACACACATGAAATCCCAGCACTTGGAAAGCTGAAGCAGGAGGATTGTCATGAGTTCATGCAAAACCTTGTCTCAAGAAAACAAAGCAAAAATCTACATGCTAAAATACAAAACAATGAACTGCCCACAGAGAAAGCCATGCATAAGAAACTGGACAAAACAGGGCCAGGGGATATAGCTCAGTGGCACAGCGCCTGCCTAGCAAGCACGAGGTTGTGAGTTCAATTCCTGGTACCAAAAAATGAAAGAAGGAAAGAAACTGGACAAAACCGAGATGTCATTATAGTTCAGTGGTAGAACACTTGCTTCGTATATATGTGCAAGGCCTAGGTTCAATCCTCAGCAGTGGACAAAAACCAACCAAACAAAACAAAACTCTTCGCATCTTACCTGTATCATTAGCTGAAATAAATCAATATGACTCTAAGAACTTAACAGATAGTGAACAGTTCACCAAAGCATCCTGACATTTTCATTGGGAAGGTGAAGCACAATTGAATCCCACATCGCTGCTTGGCCATTTGCTTCCTGTGTCTCCCTCGGACTCCGGCAGCTCAGCCAGGGTATAAAGCAGTGGTGTTTTGTTCGCAGTGGCGCACTGCTTCACCCCTGCAGGAATACTAGAGCTTGGTGTCAGACCAGCGAGATAGCAACATTTTCCCAGTGTTATTTAAGTACATCTTGGACTCTGTCCTAGGGAACAGAGTGAATAGGCAGAGGCCGTGGCAGCCATATCTGTCCAGAGCAGGGAGTCCTGTGGCTGCCATGGGAGGATGACACGGCCAGGCTGAGTAATTGCCCAGGCTGGCAAGGGATGGCAGCCCACTCCCCAGGGCTTAGCAGGATGGGTGCCTTTTCTAAGGAGTGCTGTTTGGCCAGGGGATGGAGTAGGATGAGGAACTTGCAGTTAGGCCACCTGAGGTCCTTCCAATTTTTCCAGATTCCAAGCCAGCACATAATGCTGGAGTTTACTTTTAGGTCTTACTCCATATGCATTACTTGAGCAATGGAATACTTGAAGCTTGAAATAGGTTCCAACCTAGGCGTAATCAAAGATTTAAATTAAAGTAGTAAAATATTACTTTTTATTTCAAATAAGCCAATATTTCCTGAGAGCATACTTTTTGATGCTGCAGAAAAAGGCATGCTTCTTTAAAAGACTGTGCGAACACCCTGTGGTCAAGGAAAGGTTGTTTATCAGACTTACTGCGGGAAAGGAAGACATGTCTTTGCCAGAGTCTAATAGTAGCTCAGAACGGGAAAACAAGACAAAGTATTTTTAGGGCTTTGTTACCAAGATTGGGGGATGGGACGGTTTTGGATATACACGTGCTGTGTATGTGCTCAAAATGTATGTGCCAGAAACATAATCCCCAGTGCAACTCTGTTGTTGTGTTTTGTTTTTGTGGTGGTAGAGATTGAACCATGGAGCTATAGGTACTAGAGACTGAACCATGTCCTCCGATGGAGCTATATCCCCAGCCCTCTTTTATGCTTTATTTTGAATCAGAGTCTAGCTAAGTTCTTCAGGCTGATCTCAAACTTGGAATCTTCCCGCTTCACCCTTCCAGGGTGCTGGCATTACAGCTATGCACCACTACTCCCAGCCCGTGCATACGCATGCGTATGGCGTCCTGTTGCCCTTCCCCCTCCTGTCATGAAGTCATGCAGCAAGGAAGCCCTCCTCAGATGTGGAATCTTTAACCTTGGACATCTCAGCCTCTAGCACTGCGAGAAAGAAGTCTCTATTCTCTGTAGACTGCAGCTGGTATTCTGTTATAACAAAACAGGTGGCTTTTTTTACTTTTACAAAGTAGGGAAGTGTTGGAAACTAGACAGTTTGTGGCATCATCACTTTGAATGGAAGAGCACAAAGAGACAAGCACATCTTGATTTGTAGGTACTAGTCAGTTCAGAAAGTACATTAATGTGTTGGCTCATAAGATATTTCCTGGAGCAAGCAGCTAAGACATTTTTAGTTTGTCTTGGCATTATTTAGCTGAGAGATGATTATAGGCTTCATCTTTGAACTGTTTAGCTCACAAACAGGAAGTATATTTGATCCTAAAAGTTTTTAACTTGAGCAAAGGAAAGTATGCCTGCACCCAGAACTGTTTCACAAAAGAGGAAGGAATCACTTGGATTTTAATTCTTTTGTGAAAGCCTCAAATACACATCATATTATAGAATTCTTAGTGCAATGCTTGGGTGACAGAATGTACTTAGCATTCCATAACAACGATGTAATCTAAGAATTCAACTTTTAAATGAAAATCAAATATTCTCCATTCTCAAAATGTTCGTTACAAGGTTGGAACTATACACCTTCATTGTTTTTAAGGAGCCAAAGGGATGATTTTTTTTTATATTTCAAATATTTAAAAGCCAATGGAGCATGAATATTGAACAACAGAATATAAATAGGATGAAACAAAACCAATTTGAGCTTTTGTTTTTGTTTTTGAGACAAGGTCTCACTATGCAGTTCAGGGTGGCCTTGAACTCATTATGTAGCCTAGGCTGACCTCAATCTCTTCAGAATTTTCCTACCTCAGCCTGCACTGAATGCTGAGATTACATGCATGCACCATCACGCCTGGCTTGAGTATATTATTATACCAGAAAAATTCAACCCAGCCAGTCAACATCCAGACTCCAAATCCAAAAAAAGATTTACCACTTATTACAGGATTATACTGAGCTTAACACCACAAAGATTTTTTTTCTCACTAATGTGTACTTCTCAATGGCTTGAGGATTTGTGAGAATGTTCTTGGTGTTATTCAGAACCTAGGCTGCTAGATCAGCCATAACCTGGATTAATACCAACCAGTGTGCAAAAACTGAAAAGAAAATTCTTGAGCTTCTCACATTAGCAATGGTGTGTCACTTCTGCTCACAAATCATTTGCCAGAACAAGTAACTTGAGCCCACACAATCACAAGGCACCAGCAAGTACAGTTTTGCTGTATGACTGGAAGGAGAGAAACAGAACATACGGTCAGTCAGCTGCATTAGTGACTACCCCAGGACACCCATGGTCAGCAAATAGCTCACTCACCCTTCTTCCTATATCCCAAACACATTTATCGTCTCCCCAAGGAGATGACCCAAAAGTCTCATCTAACTGCAGTACCAAGCTCAAAATCCCAAGATCTCGTAAGAGTCTACAATTGGGAATGATAATGTGGGTTCTCCATACCATATCAAGATAGAAGCTTTCTTGGGGCTGGGGATTTAGCTCAGCGGCAAAGCGCCTGCCTGGCAAGCGCAAGGTCGTGAGTTCGGTTCCCGGTACCGGAGAAAAAAACAAAAACCAAAAAAAAAAAGATAGAAGCTTTCTTTATGCAAATAGCGAATGTATTAGTCAGGAACTGAGGTAATAATGCTGTGTAATAAACCATTCCAAAATTCAGTAGCCTAACACAATAAACATCTCTGTTTTCATCTGATTTTAATTTTGTCCTACTTCAAGTATCTTCGCATTTTCTTAGCCCAGAAGAAATGACCATTCCATGACAGTTTGCAGGAACAGAAGAGCCCAAGCCAAATGCACAACATTCAAAGCCTTTGCATATGTTACATGCACTCAGACTTCGTTGGTCAAAGCAAGTCCTACATTCACAAGTCACAAAGCAAGACTACGTTAAAGTTCACCGGGATAGGAAAATATACTCTACCACACTGGGGAAGTGGAAGAGAGTGAAAATTTGATGAACCGTAATATGATAGGTAGTATCTATGAATGTAAAATGTAAGCTCCCTGCGCCCTATGCACTTGATGCGCAGTGGTGGTGCAGGTATAAGAGAAACACACAAATTCAGTACACAGTGCTCAGTATTAGGCTCTTATGTGGCTCCTAAGGGAGGTTCCACAGTCCACGATTTTCTGTGATCGTTAGTTTCAACCACTGGAATTCCTTTCTTTCCTTCTTGTTTTCTTTCTTCCTTTCTTTCTTTTGAGACAGAGTCTTGTTGTGCAGTGCAGGCTGTCCTTGAGTAGAACAACACAGCAGGAGTAACAGGATCAAAGATTTATTGAAAAAGAAAGTACATTCCACAGGGTGGGAGCAAACCAGTGAAAAGGGCTGACAGTCTTAAGGGGTTTGGTGTTGAGGCTATTGAACAGCAGGGTTTGGAGTAGGATTAGGGTTTTGTGTGAACTTTTCCTCTTGCCAGTGAGCAGCTTGCCTCTGTCCCTCCACTGAGCAGGGGAGTTTTTGACTTTTTAGGGTCCTTGTAAGAATTATCATGGTATTCAAAACCCATGGTGTGGGACAGTCAAAACAGCACTGCTAATGACAGGGTAATTAGGACTAGGGTTGTTGAAGACCTGCAGGTCACTTTATTACTTTATCCTGTTGTATTTAGATGAGGGCCTGATGTGGTGGCACACGTCTATAATCCCAGCACTCAGGAGGCTGAGGCAGGAGGATTGCCATGAGTTCAAGGTCACCCTGGACTACATAACAAGACACTATCACCAAAAGAAAAAAAAATGTGCTTAGATCAGTGTATCATAGACCAGGTTAAAGATTAACTTGAAGGTGACCTAGCCTCAAAAATGGACCCCATGATAGGGCCTCCCTTCTCTCTCCAGCCATCTCTAGCTGCCTCCTATCTCAAATTTCAGATCCTTTAGGACCCTACGTATTTACCATCACACCACCATTTATTTCAGATTTACAGTGTTGTTGTAGTTCTTATGAGGAATAATGCCTGTAAGTATTTTATAAAAGTGGAAAGCACAATATACAAGCTATCCCTAGTTATACTGTTTCCATAGAAACAATTATTAGGTCACTTAATCTCTCAAAACTTCAATTATTAAAACTTTATAAAATGCAGACAAAGACATTTGTTTTGTGTTTTTTCTGGGAATTAAACACACAGAAAACATTTAGCAAAATGCTAGGCATATACAGTAATTGCCCAAAGTTCATTATGAGGAATTTATTTAAAAGCTGAAATGTTGTGTGGGCATGTTGGCACACGTCAGTAATCCTAGTTATTCTGGAGGTTAGAGACAGGAGGATCACAAGTCCAAGGCCATCTTGGGAAACTTAATGAGACCCTATCTCAAAATTTCAAAACATAAAAGGGTTGGGGATGTAGCTTAGTGGTATAGCATTTTCCTGCCATACATGAGGCCCTGGATTCAGGCCCCCAGTACTGGAAACACACACACATTACTTAGTAACTAATACCTATATAAGTATTTAAATGGCAAACAGAATAAGACAGGAAAATAAAATCAAGTTATTATGAAATAATTACTTTAGTAATTAATCTTAAATAGCTTAATCCAGTGACTTTCTAGGCCCGAAGGAAAAGCTTACTTTGACACCCAGTCTTGTATGCCCATAAGGGATCCCTGTCCACAGCTGAAGGTCACAATTACCCCTTGAGCTTTACTTTCTGACAGTTCACCTGGAACCTTAGAAGTGAGTGGTCACTGCCTCAGCATTCAGCCCATTTGCCTTCTCTTTGCACATAAACACTTTTAGTGCCACGTGGGCCACTGGCTCTTCAATAGCCATTTTAAAACTGTTCTTCCTACAGCCAAGTAAAAGGAGAGTATATTACAAAAGGCAAGACCACAGCCAGGCCAAATCTAGTCTACAATGTCTGATTGTTCTCCTTCAATCCTGAGCATGTTGTCCTAGCAACCCACTTTACTAACTTGCTCTACTTCTCCCTCTTAAAGCCTTTGAAGCAAGTCCCTCCTCCCTCCCAGCCTTTGAAGTTATTCTGAATAGAATACTAAGGATTACCTATTAACTGACCTAGCAGGTTTTTGAACACCCCAGAAAAAACAGGAGCTGTCTCTCAACCATGGTTCCAGCCATAAGTCACATGATCCCAACCCATTAGTGTAATTAACTGACTAATATTTCATCAACAGAGGGACTCTACAAAGGTAGGAATGAAACTCAAGCTCTCATTATGATGTCAACCTAGTGGTACCAACTCCTCTAACCCTGCACTATCCAAGTAGGTTATACAGGGCTATCAAGCATTTGAAATACAGCTATTTTAAAGTAAAGTAACCTTGCTGGGGCTTTAGCTCAGTGGCACAGCACCTGCCTGGCAAGCACAAGGTCCTGAGTTTGATTCCCATTTAAAAAAAAAAAAAAAAAAAAGAGGCTGGGGATTTAGCTCAGCGGCAAAAGCGCCTGCCTGGCAAGCGCAAGGTCGTGAGTTCGGTCCCTGGTACCAGAGAAAAACCAAAAACCAAAAAAAATAAAAATAAAAATAAAAAATAAAAAAAATTTTAAAAAAAGATAAAATAAAGTAACCATGGCTGTTCAAATGCTCATTGGAAGCCATGGTGGTGGTCCACACACTTGCAATTCCAGAACTCTGGGAAGCTCAGGCAGGAGGATCACAAATGTGATCCTAGTAGGCTTGCAGATGTGTTTCAAACTTTGACCCTTGCTTTTGACCTGTCATGGTGAGATGTTCAGTTTGTCTTGGCCACTTGCTATACCTCAGATGAAAAAAAAGAATCCTAGAAAAGTGTAGGAGATAGGCAGGTGAACCATATGCTTCAGTAAGAGAAGGGAATCACACCAGAGAATTGTTGTCCCTCCAAAAGAACCAAACTGGAACTATAATTCTAGAGATGGACTGGACATAAGGTCTAAAGTGAGAACTGCTCTTATCATGTGAATAAAAAGATGCATTAAGAAATCTGTTAGGCCAGGCATGGTGGCACATGCCTGTAATCCTAGCACTCGGGAGGCTGAGGCAGCAAGATTACTATAAAATCAAGGTCAACCTGGACTACATAGTGAGTTTAAAGCCTGGCTGAACTACATAGTGAGACCCTGCCTCAGAAAGAAAGGGGGAGAGAGAGAGAGAGAGAGAGAGAGAGTGAGAAGAGAGAAAAAGAGAGAGAAAGAGAAGAAAAAGAGAAAGAAAAGGAAAAAGAAAGAAAGAAAGAAAGAAAGAAAGAAAGAAAGAAAGAAAGAAAGAAAGAGAAAGAAAGA